CCCCGGTGCGAAATTTACCTGGCTCTGGATGGGGCCTTCATTAAAGACAAGCCTCTCTCGGTCAGCCCATTTCCTTCCCCACTCCCCCTGCCCCACCCCACACATAACAGTCTAGTTCTAGATAGACAAGCAGAGCAGTCCCTTTTCAGCTGGGACTTGGATGCATGTGACAGAGCGGGTCCTAACTGACTCTATTTCAGGCCAGGTAGGCCAGCAGGGGCCTCCAGGGGTACAGCCATGTGAGTTTAAAAATAAAGCTGGCCATGAAGAGGATCCTTTTTCTCATTGCTCAAAAAGGAAGGCCAGGGACACTAACCAGCAAAGTACGGAAGCTTGGCAGACTGCTTGCTAAGTGAACTTTTTTGAGCACTGCACAGGACTTTCCTTCAAACAAGTCATAACTTAGATGTTTACTCTGATGTAAATGGAACCTCAGCTAAAAGGAAGGGCATTTTTTTTTCTACTGGTTCAAAGGCTGAAATGGCTTACTAATTTTATGTGTTTTGTCACCATGGGATAAGAACTACCTAAAAGTGCAGCAGCATTTATAAAGAAATTAGGTTCTGATCATCTGCATAGCTTGGGCACCTTGGAAACAGTGTACCTAGAAAGACACCGAAAGTATGAGGGGTCTACATATAACTATTTGGCAAAGTGGAAACTAGAACACTTGAGAGGTGGTACCTTTTTTTTTTTTCTGAGTTTATATTTTCCTACCCATTCCCTATTTAGCATATTTTTAGAGTTACAAACTGAATCAGATATGTTTTTCAATATCCTTTTAATGTCTCAAAGAGAAAGTCATAAATATGCATTTGCTTTATGTTCCCAACTATTTCAATTTAGTCATCACTGAAGGAAGTGGTTCATGATTTTATACAGAAGAGTTATTGTGAGCACTTATAAAGCCATCCTGCTTATGAGCTAAATTTATTATGTTTGCCAGGTTAATCTGTTTTCTCTAATTGGACACTCAATCATCCAGTCTCCTCCCTACATTATGGATTCATGAATGTCAGCTGAGGAGGATTGCTCAGTCAGGGCAAAATGATAAATTATCTTTTCATTTTTGGGGTATTTGTGATTAGATGCATCATAATAGAATTAAACTGAAATAAATCTTGTATTTTTATTTCTAGATCCCTGCCAGGTATGGATTAAATTTGGTTAAGAGTGAATTCAATTCAATGCCTGAATGGAAGTTGTAGGAAAAAAAAATAGAGAAAGCTTTGTCGTTCGGGAGAGCTCTGAGTTCTCCCTTCATTTCTACAGATTGGAGAGACAGTTAATCACTTGTAGGTACTCCATGGATGACCAGCACAGAACTAAAATTCGCATTCAGAAAGAATGAGGAATTAGTCTAAGGTGGTAATAGCCAAAGTTTGTCTGAAATCTAGAGTTGTAACTTTGGGATCTTGAAGGCTACACATGGTGTATGATGGGAGCAGATGCTAGATTACAACCAAAGAACCAGTTCCCATTATTTTGAGTATAGTAAGTGAAGCATCACCTGGATGTCACTCTTATTTGCTGCCTACTTGGTTTGGTTGAGAGGGTTAAAACACATTGAAATAACCATAATGGAAATAGTTTAGTGATGTTGTTAAATGAATGAAGTCTACATTTCAGCAAAAGCCCTGTGAGGTAACAAGAGTCATTATTTGCTTTTTTAACATGTATGGAAACCAATTGGCACTATATAATGTTAGTCCTAAAAAAAAAAACACCAAAAACAAAAAAAAACACAACCAAACAACAACAACAAAACCACCTGTTTTTTTGGTGCATATTTTACAATTAGCAAAATACGTTCATATCCGTTTATCTCATTTGATCCCCACAACAAACCCGGGGCTACTCAGTTTCTGGCAGTTGCTCTGAGGCCCTGGAGCGCCTCACTCAGGGTCTGCAGGGGCAGGACCCAGATCAGGGGTCGGACCTCTTACTCAGGCACGCCTCCTCTACTCACACTCCCTTTTTTATTAGACAGTAAATGTAAAGTCTTCCTTTTAGATGAAAAGTACCACCAAAAGAAAAGACCTGCACAAATGCAAAATGAATGAGACCCAGTACAAAAAAATAAAATGGGATTATAAAGATCTCATGGCCTTAACTAAGATCGTTGCTGAGATAATACAGAGGTTGTTGGCTACATGAGCACAGTAAGCGAGAGTTGAGACAGTCACTCAGATAGTTCTCACCCAACCCCCCAAAATCCATGCTGTTAAAATAAAAGCTTTTTTCTTGACTGAAATATCCAGGCAACATGTCTGCTCAGATTGGATTTTTGTCCAAATTGTTCCAGACTCTCATTCAGTCTGTTTTGTTCGTTCTTGGTCAATATGATCGGAACTAGAAACCCGTTTCCCTACAGAGTCCCCACGCAGTGCACACCCAGGCTATGTCATATCTCTGTGACTGCTGCTTCCCAAAGGCTATGTGCATTTGAAGTTCCTAAGCTTCATGAGTTAGGCTGATTCAAGCCTCTGGGGCAATCAAAGGGACAGGTGGAGAAAAGAATGATTTAATGGAGCCCAGGTCAGAGGCACAGAAACTTATCAGCCTGTGGCAAGACAAGGAGAAAATGGGTATGCCTTCGATGGAAGAAGTTGCCTGCATTCTGCCCAGGAAAAAAGCAATGGAAAAGTCAGGAGGCATGGGTTCTAATCCTAGTTCTGCCACTTGCTTTCTGTGTGACTTGGGGCATGTGCCATGTATAAAATGGGAGAGATAATATAATTGCCTGCTGTTTTCACAGATTTGTTAAAAAGGTCTTTTAAATGTATGGAAAGTTGAATGTGTATAAGAAAGAGTAAATTCAAACCATGATTGCTTGATAGATATAACACAAAAGTACCCTTGGATATGGCACATTTCACCATATTCAGGAAGAGAAATGGCTAAACATATGCATAAAATTCCTGCCTTCTTTATTTGCCTCTTTTCATTTTAAATTCTGAAAAATTGTCATATTTATTAATTATAACATTTATACAGGATAAACATCTGTCCATTAAAAGTGATACTGACAATGTAGTTAAACCTTTGTCTTTTATTAGTCTAATAAATAAAAGTACATCATTAAAAAGAAGCCACAAATATGAATGATTTTAGGGACTTTGCCCTAAGGGGACATCATACAATGCATTTGGGCAAAGGTAATTCTGACTTTGTCCTCCATAAAATGCTATATTTCTGCACAAAATCTCAAAGCACAAAATGTTTACAGGGCTCTTGGTGACAAGAAAAATGATGGTAAATGTGCCTTAACACTAAAATTCCCGTATCCATGGAAACCCATGAAGTTCTGTAAGTGCACACGCATGTGGCCTACACTATTTATTGAAGGGCTGAGGCAGCCATCGCTGGGTTACTATGCTCTGAAAACTGACAGATTGCTGGGAGCTGGTCATCACAGACATGGAATTTTTTCCCATTGAGTGTAATTACAGAGAAATTCAGAAATTTCAGACATTATGGAGAAAAGAACATGTTTAAATATTCAAATGTACTTATTCTTATCAGAATACAGAGAATTAAATCAGATTTTTGTTCAGAAAAAGCTTGAGAAGCCATCAGCATTTCTCTCTCCCCCCACACAAGTAGCTACATTCAGAAACTCTCTAGATTTTCCATTTGTGCAGATCCAGATATTTCTTGAGTGTTGAGAGAGAACGCCACAGTTTTTATCAAACTGAGTATTATTCCTGGGAGTTTAAAAGAGTTCCTGGTCAGTATTTCCAAATGTATAACAGCTTTAAAAAGCAAAGAGCATAATAATACTGGAGGGAAAGAATCATCTACAGATACCTGAAGTGTTTATATAACCAAGGACCAATAGTCTAATAAAATAGAGAGATAATACTATTTACAGAGGCAAATTCATACAATGCTCTTTTTTTTTTTACAGTGTGCTATTTTTTGAAACATATATATCATCTCATTTACTCCTTACATCAGTCTTGATGGGTATTATTATCCCCATTTTCCTTTTCACTGCCAAGGCTTTGATATTCTTTTAATATTTTTTCTAGATGTTATTCTGGATTTTAATGATTTAGAAACAGCCTGTGTTTTAGTTGAAATACACCAAAACATTATAAGTCCTTAAAAATACTTTGTGTTTTATTTTCACAGAAGTTTTCTTTTTAAAATATTTTTTATGTTCTCTGAGGATGTCCTGTTTGGTAGCCATTAGCCACATGTGGTTACTGAACACTTAAAATGTGGCTTATGTCACATGTTGATAGTGTTTGCATATATTCAGTTAAATAAAATATACAACTTTAATTTCACCTGTTTCTTTTACTTTACAATTATGCTTATTAAAATATTTAAAATTGTATATGTGGCTGTCACTGTATTTCTATTGGACAGCACTGCTCTAGTGAAACCCTCCAGAGCCATTAAAAGGGTTCTATTTTTTATCATTAAGTATATGCCAGACTCACTTGATTTTCTGATTGACCCACCAGATCTTCCACCAGAATAAAGAGCGCAGATTGCTTTCATGTAAAAGAAGTGCTTTAAATTATCCTTCTCTTTCTGAGCCAGGTTTCTCTCCTTTTCTCCCATGTAATTCTCCATGGCAGGGTCCCAAAAGCAACTGAACCTCTTCTTTATCTTTGCTTTCAGAGAGGCAATGAGGCAATGAGCCACCCCTGTGGAACCCAGTAAACCCTGTCCCTATGCAGGACCCAGAGATTGCCAGAAAAAGCACACTCAATGCCATACAAAGCCTGATAAGCATCTAGGAAGAGAATGCTGCCCTATGTTGAAACTGGCTCAGCCACCTCTAACTGTAATGGAAAAATAGGTGAGAAAGATCCAAGATGGTGAAGTGGATAATCACTGCCTGCTTCCTTCCATGAACACGTCAAAACTGAATTATAGAACAATCAACCTGGAGAACCATCTGAAGACTAGCTGAACAGAAGTTTTATAACTAAGGATATAAAATAGAAGCCAAGTTGAGACTGGTAGGCGGTGCAGAGACAAGGAATGGGCTGGCCCCAAACTTCCATGAGAGTCAGGAGGGATACATGACCTCAGAGAATTTCCCCCAAGCCAGGAGCAAGAGACCCCAGCCTCACACCAGGCTCTCCAGCTCAGAATTCTGGTGCTGGAAAGAGGAGCCCCC